TTGATGCAAATCTGTAGATAGTGTTTAATTTTAAGAGATTGGTAGATTATTTCAAAAGCAACCTGTCGCGGTCGCATCGCGACTCCAGCTTTACCACTGGATGGCGATCGCGGCGCTTTCCCTTTACGTCCGGCAGGTTGCGCCATATGGAGTGGCTGACGGGCAGCTTGAACCGGTCCAGGCCGCCGGCAACTAACAAGAATAATAATATAACATTAACATTTTGGCTATTGTCTACTTCCTTTGGAAACTGATTTTTTTTTATGTAATCTTACGGATATAGCAATTGTAAAATATATTTTCACTGATATTTAATCACGGTGTTGTTTATTTATTCAATATAATTACCACCCGAATCACAACATTGGCGCAGTCGGTAGGATTATTTTTTTGCAGACTAAGAAGTTATTTAGGTAAGTGTTAAATAATTAAAGCAATTATTATTTGTAGCACCCTTAATAGAATATTTGCAAAATAGAGAACCTTCAGCTTTAACTGGCTAAAAGCGTAGTAAGTCCCAGGAAAAGAAATTTTTAAGACTTAATTAGCCATAAGCTTATTAATTTTTGGGGTTAAGGTGTATATAAGCTATGTAGTTAGAGATAGACTTATTATACAGGAGAATTTCCTAACGTGGTTTGTGCTAAAAATATCTTATAGACAAGTCCACTTCCCGATCACGTGATCAGCGCATTAGCTTATCCCCATTGACCTACTTATCTGTTATTATTAGAATATCAGCACTCAATATGTCAGGTAAGAGCATACTTGAGCTGACGATAAGAGAGTTGCAAGGGGAGCTGTCACGACGGGGTCTCGCTACTGGGGGTTCTAAAGCCGACCTTATGGTTCGGCTGGAAGACTTTCTAAGCCAGGAGGAGGGGGTTAACGCGGCAAGCGTCAAATTTCACCCCGAAAAACCAAGTAATCCTCCACCCCAAGATGACGATATCCCTAACGGGANTTGGAAGACTATCTAAGCCAGGAGGAGGGGGTTAACGCGGCAAGCGTCAAATTTCACCCCGAAAAACCAAGTAATCCTCCACCCCAAGATGACGATATCCCTAACGGGAGGCCCGGGCAACCGGAAGATGACGATCGCCGTTCCGAAGACGACCGAGACAGCTCGTCACTGTCATATGATACTTATATGATGTTATGCGGGTACGTCGAGGATAATGCGAAAGGGAACGAGGAGCTGGAAGCAATAGTCGCCCAACAGCGCGAACACATTGCTCAGTTTGAGACAAAGTTGAACGACTTGATAAAGCAAGTCAACTTGTCTGCTTGCGTAGTACAGGGGGTACCTTGCAGTACCAATAGGGGAACTCTGCCGCCACACCACACGCTTAGGCGAGTTATAGCGGACAGACCCGAAAATTCACAACTCCGATCGGAAGGGGGTGAGCAGATGGCCGTCCCGGAAAATTCCGACCGTGCAGTTCGAGGAACCCCCATCCCCCCACCGGAGCTTCGGACTGCAAATCAGTTCTTCGGTGACTTACGGGATACTTCGGCGAAAAAATAAATTCGCCCCGTGAAAACGGCCGGAACCCCGGGTTACACCGACTGGGACCCCCCTACGCCGGTGAAAATTCTGTTTTCTCCGGTGGATTAGACCGGATTTCGGAAGAACAGCACCGAAACAGACAATTCTCCGGTGAAAGTTTCTGTTCTTCCGGTGTAAACAAAAATTCTGCCGTTGAAAGTAACCGGACGACCAAGGACCATCACCAGAACATACAGTTTTTCGGTGAAAATCCAGAAACCTTCGGTCAAAACCAAGGATTTAACGGAGTAGAACGATCTGAAAGTCGTTCCCGTCCGGACAATAGTACCAGGGAGCAACGACACGTTACTTTTAACGAAACGTCGTTACTATCCCACGATAGCCTAACGTTGGCGCGTGATTCTCTGCCGGAGTTTTCCGGAAAGAAACAAGAGGATCCCAACGCTTTCATTGAAGAGGCTGAATTGGTCCTAACCGAAGCAAACGTACCACACCAGAAGTGGGTACGTGTACTGTCCCCACAGTTAAAAGCAGAGGCAGGTAACTGGTGGGGTACTATACGCTGCTTGAACCCCACATGGACAGTGTTCCGACAACAATTTTTGAGGAGGTTCAATAGCATTGCTATACTTACCCAAGTACGCAATGATCTCCACAGTGCTCACCAAGGCGAACGTCAATCCCTAGGGGAGTTTGTAATGTGGAAGAGCCAGCTAGTCCGTCGTCTCGACTCAAGGCTCACAGAGTACGAGTTGGTCGACCTAATCATAGGGCTTATGCGCAGTGACTATCGGGTCCACGCAAGAGTGAGACGCCCGANGGGGTCCACGCAAGATTGAGACGCCCGAGGTCAATGGAAGATCTGCTAGAGCTGGCTAGCGACTTGGACGTTGAGGACCTTTCTCCGGAACGGCGGCCCGAAGAAAAGAAGTATTCCGCGGAAGGGAATAGCTTCAAATGGGCAAATAAGAAACCGCCACCGGAGAAAGAGGTTATTAGACCGGAAAAAAGCCCGTCCGGAGCGGCACGTTGTAAAAACTGCAACCGGACTGGGCACTGGTGGGCGAATTGCCCGGAAAGAAAAACGGCGAGTACGGGAAACGGGAAGAGTTCCGGACGGTTCACGGGAAACCGACCGGACAAGAAAAACTAGCCCGCCCANGGTTCACGGGATACCGACCGGACAAGAAAAACTAGCCCACCCAAAGAACCGTAAGCGCAAGCCCGGTACAGAAGTTTCCGACCAGGAACCCAAAAAGGCACCGGAGTAGGGCAAAAATATGCAGCTCGCCGCTATCGAATCTGGAGAAACGGAGTACACACGGAAGAAACGTACGGCAAAAAGAGAAGTTTCGGAAACACAGGAGAGTAGTTCAAAACGTCCTGACCAAGGAACACAAGCGGCTCTCTCCGAGAACAGTTTGCCGAACAAATCTCTGGAAGACCTGGAACAAGACCAGTTAACACATGAGTTGTTAACGGTACCACAGTCTTTCCCGTTAAAACTTCCGAAGGAGTTGACTCCTATCACTGGTATCGCGCTGAACCGAAGGAAATCTGATACGGACTCACTTTATGACCTCAGGGTTCGAGCCGCAGATTTATTTACCGGAGAAAACTTTCCTAGCAAACAGGGTTATTGTTCAGCGTCCGACCAGGACCCAAAATACAATAAGTTACCCGAGAAAAAGCTGGTGAAAGAAATCTCACAAGGTAATATTACCTCTTCTAACCCAAACACGAACGGTAAAAGAGCTACAACTACCGGAGCACCGAAAAAGTACGATGTGCCACTGCCGGCCATTGAACTTGAGTTTCCGACTAAAGTTGTGGTGGCTCTACTAGATTCACAAGCAACTGGATCTTATGTTTTACCGTGGGTAGCACATGAGTTTGGTAAACCAATAAAAGGAGAGCCGAGTATGGTCACATTGGCTGACAGCCGAACTTTGCAAGTTCATGAGTACGCGGAGTTCACAGCACAGGTGTCTGACATTGAAGTTCAATTCAGAGCCGCGGTACTCGACCATCTTATCGGTGACGTGTTACTGGGCCATGACTTCTTGGTGAAACAAGAAGTGGCATGGGACTACCGAGCATGTACAATCCACATGGGTACAGAAAGAAGAGCGACGGTATGCTGGAGAAAACCGACAATCAAACGGGAAACCGAACCGAAGATGGTTATCCCGGAAGGGGAGTTTCCGGAAGATGTCCGGTTAATATTACTCAAGTTCCCGAAGGTTTTCTCCGGAAAAGTCGGGAGGACCCGAGTCATTGAACGTGACATCCGATTAAAAGAGAAAACTACGGCTACTTTAAACGCATATCCTTATAATTGTGAAAAACAGGATACCATCACACGTATGGTGCGAGAAATGGAGGAGCAAGGTTTTGTAGAACCTAGTACCTCGCCATGGGCAGCTCCCGTAGTTCTTGCCAAGAAAAAAGATGGATCCCAGCGATTATGCGTGGATTACCGGAGACTGAATCTCCAAACAGAATCCGACGCACATCCAATGCCTGACTTACACGAAATGGTCCGTGGAATGGGTGGCGCTAACGTCTTCAGCACCATCGACCTTAAGTCTGGCTATTGGCAGGTCAGCTTGACTCAGGAAGCAAGACCACTCACCGCATTCCGCACACAAATGGGCCTCTACCAATTTAAAGTAATGCCCTTTGGCCTTAAAAACGCCCCGGCTACTTTTCAACGGTTGGTAAACGAGGTTATGCGTGGATATGTCGGTAAATTTGTGTTTGTGTACCTAGACGATATCGTGGTGTACTCGGTGAATATGAAGAAACACCTCAACCACATACAACGAGTCTTGGAACGGTTACAAACACATGGGTTGACAATTCAACCGAAAAAATGCAGTTTCGGTGTAAACCGTATAAATTTCCTCGGACACATAGTTGATTCGACGGGAATTGACCGGGAACCGGAGAAACTAACTGCAATCGCCGAATTCCCCGTACCGAAGAAAGTCAAAGATTTACAAAAGTTCCTCGGNAAATTCCCCGTACCAAAGAAAGTCAAAGATTTACAAAAGTTCCTCGGAGTATGCGGTTGGTACAGTCAGTTCGTGTCGAAATACACCGAACTTACCGCTCCGCTGACTAATCTTTTGGCACATGGAATTAAGTGGCGATGGACGGTACANAGGCGCATGGAATTAAGTGGCGATGGACGGTACAAGAGCAAGACGCTTTCCAAAAGCTTAAAGAAGCACTTGTCTCTGCGCGCCGACTCTATCCCCCACTTCAAGGACAACCGTTTTATGTTCACCCGGAGAATATCGCTATCTCCGACATTAGAACCTGGCAAGCCGAAGATGTAACTTTGGCCCAGTATGTCTAGAAACTCCGGAGTGACAACCCAATTTACCGGCGCTTACACCAGGAATACCACCTGCAAGACGGTATTTTGCTAAAAGGCCCGGTAAATAACGGAACGGACGGAAAGATTATCGTCGTTCCGTCGGACATGTCAGATCACCTGCTATGGAGGTATCATGATCATGTTTCTGCCGGACATCCAGGATGGAAAGAAACTTACCGGAGCATCGGTAATCGTTTCTTCTGGACCGGTATGAGAGAGTCGGTACGTCAATATGTCGCAAGGTGTCACGTTTGTGCTTGCGTTAAACCGTTGAACCGGAAGCAAGACGACCCAATGCGACCAAGACAGCCCCGCCAGCCATGGGAGGTTGTTAGCATTGATCTTATGGGGCCATACCCAAGATCTCAACGCGGTAAGACTTGCCTACTTGTAGCAACTGACTGCTACAGTAGATGGGTAGAAGCATATCCCCTAGGGCAAGCCACCGCTAAGACGATTACCGACACTCTAGAAAGAGAGTTTTTCTCACGTTTCGGCTATGCTAGAGTACTTCTCTCAGATAATGGAACACAGTTCGTCTCCAAAACAATGGAGAAAGCACTGGAGAAGTGGGGCACAGAAGGATGGACAACGCCAATTTACCATCCAAGAGCAAATCCTGTAGAACGCCGAAACCAGGATTTGAAAAAAGGTCTTCGGACAGCTTTGGTTGACAAACCACATAGTCACTGGGACAGCTGTATTCCGAATATACTTTTTTCAATAAGAAATCGTCGGAACAGGCTAACAGGGAGCACTCCCTCTGAGCGGGCATTTGGGCGAGAAGCCAAAGCCCCCGGCGATTGGCTGCTGGACATTATTTCTACGGGTAAAAACCCGAAACAAATAGAAATGACCGGACAGAAAAATATTGTTACCGTAAAGACTCCGGACAATAACAATAACTCCGGTGTGATAACCGAAAACTCCGATGTCTTCGATAGGAAAACGAAAATTTCCGGGGGGGGAGAACAACCCTCACAAAAATTCGGGTTATCTTCCGATAAAAAAGATATTGGTCACAAGTTATCCCGCGAAAATCACCGCAGACGCTTTAAAGAAGGGGATTGGGTGTATTATCGCGCGCATCCCTTATCCAGCGCTGATAAAAAGTTTCACGCCGGCTTTGCCCCTAAATGGCTGGGGCCAGTGCAACTAGCCAAAAGGCTAGGTGAGGGAGTGTTTGTGACTAAAGGAAAGTGTCAGTTAAAGCTACATGTCACCGCCATGAAATATGACGCCTCAGAAGGTAATCCTAATAAATTTTCTATTTTACAGCATGTCCAGCAACCAAAGACAGGACGTGGAGCCCCGTTCCATTCGGCCCTCTCGCCGGCTCTCGGCCGAAACCGCAAATCTCATGCGGCAGCAGGCCCGCAGGTTGATGCGGCAAGCGGCGGCACTGCTGGGGGAAGAATATGAGGAACTCCCAAAACGAGAACGAGTCCGTTCGGCAGGGATTGGGGAACTTCGGTCCCAACCCCTCTTATGGGCTGCGTTCGATCGGGGTTTAACGGAACGTCGTGCGGAACAGGGGGAACCTAGCCGGCGGTCGAACCAGCGGCGACATCGACCCGGCCACACCTCCGCTCGACTTAATCAGCCGGCATAGGGCAGGCTGGAAACAAACCGGCCAAACCACCGCCACAGCCAACGGGACGAACATGGCCGGTTTCGACCGAAAAACACCGCGGAAGCGTCAACCAACCAGGTGACCACCGCGAAACCAAGTGGCGTCAGGAGTGAGTCCCATTCCGGCGAAGGTGTGGAACGCTTTGCTGGTAGCGTTCAACCAGTCGTCTTCCTTGGGGACGACCAGGTGGACCCGCAGCACGTGGATGTGGAGTTCCGGTTCTCGGAAGGAATGGAGACCGAAGAGGCGGTTCTGGACGCCCCGACCATCGAGGTTCCCGACTTCCCTGAGTTGGAGGACGGGCCAACGGACCAGCTGTCCTAGGCGCTCATGGGCCGACCGGCCGGACTGGGGGGGGAGTATGTCGTGGTCGCATCGCGACTCCAGCTTTACCACTGGATGGCGATCGCGGCGCTTTCCCTTTACGTCCGGCAGGTCGCGCCATATGGAGTGGCTGACGGGCGGCTTGAACCGGTTCAGGCCGCCGGCAACTAACAAGAATAATAATATAACATTAACATTTTGGCTATTGTCTACTTCCTTTGGAAACTGACTTTGTTTTTATGTAATCTTACGGATATAGCAATTGTAAAATATATTTTCACTGATATTTAATCAGGGTGTTGTTTATTTATTCAATATAATTACCACCCCAATCACAACAAACCATAACTCTTATTCTCTTAGTTTTATCCCGATTTATAATTTTTTTTTTTTTTACAACTGTTAGGTTAGTTAATAACATTGGTATATCTTGGGGAAATTTATGTGCAGTGGTTTCCCTTTGCCATCTGCACTGTGAACATGGTGATTTTTCGCTACCGTAGAAGCGCACGCATGGTCACCCATCCGTTCACCTACGGCGGTAGGCGCGGCATAACACTAGAGTTTTGTTTAACCTGACCACCCTACCACACCACGCCCTGTAATAATTTATAATTATATTATATGAATACATAATAATTATAGTAGTTAAATTTAATATGAAATTGATATTCAATAATATAATATAATAATATTGTAATTTTTACGGAGATATTATTAAAATAATAAAGTAGTTGTATATTCATATACTTTTAACGCGTATAAAAATTTAAAGAGTTTGATGCAATACACTAGATTACAAGGAACTTTCATCAGAAATAAAAATATACTTTTCTAAATCAACTATTCTCAATGTTTTAAATGTGCAATTAGACTTCTTCTATCATTTTAAATTTTTTATATTATTACTAATTAGGGAAGTGTTGTACCTTGGCACCATTTTTATAAAAAAAATTCTAGTACCTTCAATTTTGAATATTAAATGTTCATTTTTAATATTCATTTAGACAATGCACATAAGTATATGGTAATTTTTTTTTAAAGCCAAAATATCAATTATTTTTTAAATTAAAATTTGTTTTTTAAAAACACAAAAAATTGGCCAAGGTACAACATATATTGTACCTTGGTATTTGGGGTATTGTACCTTGATTTCAATTGAAATATGCATACTTCGTTTCAAAAATAGTTTTATATTATGTACAAATGTATTTATAACATATAAGTGTATAATACATCATCGGCGAAAAGGAATAGTGGGCGAAATCCAAAGTTCACTGACAGGGACCGACGAACATTAAAACGGATTGTGACAAGACAACATAAAACTACCGCGGCTAAAGTTACAGCAGAACTTAACGCTCACTTAGGTAATACTGTTTCGACAAAACCTGTACGACGGGAGCTTCACAAAGGTGGTATTTAATGTGACATTCTTTATCTTAATCAGGATATAAAAATTAAAATAGCAGAATATGTAGCTTTTGTAATTCAATATCCATCAATTTCTTAGAATTAAACACTATCTATAGATTTGCATCGAAGCGTTTCTTATGATAGTGATTTTAATCACTTTCAGATACCATTATACTTGATCCAACTATGCCACGTCACTACTGTGCTGCGACTCCCCTGTACTGGGTTTTTTAACTCTATATGTGTGTGCTACTAACAGGCTTTAATACTTCAAAATTTTTGGTTAACTACTTTTTTATTTTTTTTTTTATATAGTAAATCATTAAGATTAATTTATTTATGAATATTTCAGTGTAGAATTTTTTAGCTTCGATTGAAGTTGAGAAAGTTTAATTTTACTATGATGTGTTTTTTTTTGTGTCTGATACCATTTTTTTAAACTTTCAATGAAGTAATTCCTTTCAACGATATGTCAAAATATCTGAAATCATATCTAGTCGAAGACATTACTCTCAAAAATTGAAAAAATTTCACTGTTTTACCTATTTACGGGAAATCTCCAAAAAAGATTTTACAATTTTAAGAATCACCTATTTTCGAAATTTTTTCAATTTTAGCTTCGATGCGAAGCTGAGAAGGTATTGGTTTTACTATGATGTGTTTTTTTTTTCTTTTTCTTTTTTTTTTTTTTTTTTTTAAAAANAAAAAAAACACATAATAGTAAAATGAATAACTTTTCAGCATCGCATCAAAACTAAAAACTAATTAAAAAAATACAATACCTCTAACATTGATTCAAAATTACAGTACCTAAATAAGGACGTTTCAAAATATAGTAAAATTTACTTATTTATTTTCGATAATCCAGCTATTTAAAAAAACCGTCNCAAAAAATACAATACCTCTAACATTGATTCAAAATGACAGTACCTAAATAAGGACGTTTCAAAATATAGTAAAATTTACTTATTTATTTTCGATAATCCAGCTATTTAAAAAAACCGTCATATTTTATTAGTGTGTTATATTAATACAACAAATAGTATCTAGACTTCATAAGAAAATAATTTTCTTTTTAAATATTTATTCATTAAAAATCTTTTAAAATATTACCTATAACGTATTTTACAAAGTAATATTAAATGTAGGAATTCTTACTCTGCTGATTTAGGGTTGAGAAATTCTTCAAATCCTAAGTTTTTGTACCAAACTTCAATAATTTCGTCGAAAAACTTATGAAGTATTTCTTTTCTTGCAGACATTACGTCAATAGGTAATTCTGCAATTTTAATATTTTTTAAATCATTTGTTAGAAAAACGTATATGTACTTAGAATTTTGAATAAAATTGTTTATTAATATTGATGCGTTTGTTTCAAATTTTGTCAAATTCTCAAATTTCATTTCAGAGATTTCGTAAGGTGATTTGTTGAGATCAAAAGAGCTGGTGTCCGAACTTATTTCTAAGATGTACTGATACATAAAGACGATTACATCAATTGTAAGAAACGGTACAAAGCTATCAGGAAACAATAAACTTATATCTATGTAGCTTAAAAACTTCATTGCATTGTGTACATGTTCAATAAAAGTTTTGGAACTTTTTATAACTATTTCAAGCATTTGCACACAAGGAATAAAATGTGTCGATAATTTATCTTCATCATGAAATTGCTGACAGTATCTAAGTAAATGATTTATTAAATTAAGGATTTTTTTTAAAATTTCATAATACTTGAAATTGAGTATACGTATTGTATAATCATATTTTTTTCTAAAATATAACAATGTAGTACTTGGTTGGGAAGTTTTTTCTGTAACAATAGTGTTATTAGAATCTTGTTTTCGATACGATATAATTTGTGAATAAATGTGACTCACCACCCTTTCGATATAATTTTCATACATAGCATGATAACTTTTGCAATGAACTCTTTTGTCTGGTTGCAACACGAAAACGACAATAAATATTAAAATAAATGAATAAAATTTCATTGTAAAAAAATTCCAATATGAAGAAATTCACGTTTGAAACTTAGGTATATATATAATCCAAATATCTTTTTTATTATTTAATATCACTTATTTGTTAATATAAAAATATATATAACGAATATAAACCTTTTTTTCTACGTCAGTGAAAATGTAGCTCTGTACTATATTTTACTATTTAATATGATGAGACTTAATAATTACAGTTAAAAATAATTTATTATAAAATTTATAAAAGTTTTATATATGTATTTTTCTTTATGTAATTTCAATAAAATTCAATTGTCCCATGAATAGTTCACAATAAAAAAGTTAATTGAATAATGCTTTTATCAAAATAAATTAACATTATTAAGGTATATATTTGTTTAGTTTGTCTCATAATCTTTTTTCGTCTATATTTTATTAAAACATGTTTTTACTGCAGAAGGTAAAAAAAAATACTAAATTACTTAAATATTTATCATTATTTTTTTAAAGAAATCGTCTGAAACCTAGGATTTTGTACCAGAATTCTATAATTTCATAGACTTTTAAATTATATATTTTTTTAATGTTTTACATTTGTAGGCACACTACATTAACCGATTTACTAGTTGAGTAATTAAATTTAATCGTTTGATTGAAATCAAACTATAAACCCAACCTTTTCCCAAATTTTCATACTCTGACTGATAAGCTTTATGCATCTATAATTTCCACACTCCTGTAAGTCTCCTTTACCTTTAAATATCAGCACTACAATACTATTCCTCCATTCATTTGGTATTTTCCCTTCTAATAAGATTTTATTTAAAAGTTCGTCCAACCACTTTATGTCAACTCCGCCTAATTTTTTCCGTACTTCTATTGGCACTTTATCTGGTCCCACTGCTTTAGTCTTTTTCATTGATGCCACAGACTACAATACTTCTTTCTCACACTGGATACTCCTCATTCAGTAATTTTTCAAAATACTCTTTCCAACATTTTTTCACATCATCATCACTCGAGAGTACCTTATTATCAACACTTTTTATACATCTTATATAATGGTAATCTTTAGACCTTTTCTCTCTTACCTTTGCAAGTCTATAGATTTTTTTCTCGCCATCTTTTGTTCCTAGCCTATCATACATCTTAAACATCGACTTACCTTCAGTACACTTGGCTTCTTTGCACAAGCGTTTATACTATATCCAGTTTTCTCTCTTTTTTCTCTTCTGTCATACTTTGAATTGCTTTTTCTTACTTTCTATGATTTTTTGAACGTCCTCATCCCACCACCAGGTTTCCTTGTTTCTTGGCATTCTACTACTACTCTCACGAACAATCTCCTTTGCAATATTCTTTACACAACTAGCAAATCTATTCCACATATCATTTATGTCTCCTTCGATATTCCACACCGTCTTTACAAACTCTTTTTCATTTTCCCTTTTCAATTTCCACCACCGGATCTTCGATTTTTCCCCTGTGTTCCTTCTGTTTTTGTTTATTCTTTTCTCGGTACACCAAAAATTCATTACCATCAATCTATGCTGTGTAGTTACACTCTCGCCTGCTATTACTTTACAAACCTTTACTCGCTTAATGCTCTCTCTCTTCCACATAAAATAATCAATCTGTGATCTATTCCTCCCACTCTTATAAGTTATATAATGTTCTTCCCTCTTTCTAAAATAAGTATTAACCACAGCAAGATCATACGATACTGCGAAATCCATAATTATTTCTCCAGCCTCATTCTATCAGTTTCATATCTATTCCTCTCATTACCTACATGTTGATTCATATCTCCACCAAATACCGCATCCTCATTGGCAGGTACTACTAAAATCACCTCATCCATCTCTCTCCAAAACACTTCCTTGTCTATTTCATCATACATCCTATTTGTGGTGCGTAGACACTTATTATACTCATCACTTTTTCCTCAAATATCAATTTCACGACTATAATCCTGTCATTTTTACCAGCTACTTATACTACTTTACATTTCATTTCCCCATCCATTATTATACCTAATTAAAATACTCTTCTATAATCGCCAATAAGACACATTTGTTTTTATTTTAAACGATATATTGTTAAATTTATATTATATTAACTAGATAAAAATCTTGTTTCATTAACCTTTACATACAGATAAAAATTAAAGAGTTGATTTTTATCTGAACTAAGTTTTTTTTTGTAAAATTATTTTTACTTAAGTTAAATATATTTTTTGGTTATTTATGTATAATTAATACCGCTCTAGAGTCAGTCTGACCCTGAAATTAGTCTTATTAGTGTTATTGGAGTTTTTTACTAAAAAATAGTGCCAATAAAAAAAATGATATTAATTTCAAAATTATTTTTCCTATAAATTATTTATGATCTTATTATTAATAATTTATTTCTAACCGTGCAAAGTATGGGTACCATATATTAAATAATAAATCAATATATTTAACGATTTTGTTTAATCGTTAGGCATGATTTTTTTTTAAAGTTGACCTTATGTTTAAGTATTATTTAAATAAAATTATCAAGACATAAATTATATAGTGGTGCACTTACAAACTATCCAAAAATTGTAAACGCATGTCATTAAACAATTTAACACAACGCAGTTAATTAACAAACATGACAATACTTGAAATACGTAAATAAACAAATCTATTAAAAAATAATCAGAAAAATTTTATTTTATTTATTAATTTTATTAATTTAATAATTCTAGCGCACTTTTTTATTCAAAAGAAAAGTATATAATTATTTAAATATATAGGAGAATTGGAAAACATATTTTGAGATTTTTGACTTTCATTAACTGCATTTTTGTTATGAACATTTTGATTACTTGTAATATTCAATTGATTATCATGATTCAAATTTTTTCTTTTTATAATTTCAATTAGAGTATGATTAGAATCTTTTATATTGTTTAATGAAAAATACACATCCTTTTTACATAACTGATCTAAAATTAATAACATAATGTTAATTTTTGGTAACACTTTTCAAACTAATAATTTCAAGTTGTCACGGTCATTTTCGTGATTAAACAATTAAAACATACAAATGTATTTCATATTATATTAAAAGTATTAAAATAATAACGTTATATTAATTAATAGTTGTAGCTAATCTAAATATTAGAAAAGTAATTTTATTTTACGAAAAAAACTAATTATAAATCTAAATTAACCAAATATTTGTCAAAATTTTGTTGGCCTGTAATCTACGTTTTCCCTTAACATTATTAACACGTTTATATATAAATGTCACATGTATGTTGTGGGTTGTGTGATGTGTGTTTGTAACTTTCCACGCGGCACGTGTTATTATTCTCGCGTACCTGTTGTCTATGACCTTGAGACTAGACGTCGTAACGCATTCACCCCACCCCGCTCACCACACGACGACAACACTGATTCCTGTATAATTTTATATTTTTGCTTTTCGTACCCGTACACGCGTGCCTGTCATCAATATTATATATATATATATGAACAAATTTTTATTTTGACTGACCAATGCCACCCGCGTGTAATGCTCCTTACGTATATATATTTATATATTCCTACCACCGCTGCCGCCGTTTATACCTTGGGTATAACGTTTCTCCCGCCCATAAAACAAGGCTAAACCTAGTGCATGATACGTTTACGTACTTAAGTCGCTTAACATGTATATATATATTCTAATTACTATTAAAAATATATATTAACACGCTTTAATTACGTAAATTACCCACTCCGGAGGTGGGTAATTTACGCGCCTGCTGCTCTCCTTGGACGTGGTAGCCGTTTCTCAGACATCCTCCCCGGAATCGAACCCTGATTTCCCGTTACCCGTTACAACCATGATATTGATAGTAACGACTATCATAACATGAAACATAATTGAGAAAAATAAATATAGTTTAAAAAAACACGTTTTTAAACTATATTTATTTTTCTCAATTATGTTTCATTCGTTAGAAAATTAGTATAAACTTTAATTGACAGCTTTTCTGTGAGAGACATAGATTAGATGGAGCGAAGGAAAAAATAAAAATTGAGAGTAAGTTTGTTAAAAGAGTAAAAGAGCTTAAAGAGTATTAATCTATAGGACACGTAGAACTTACGAATTATAAGCTAATTAAACATTTATTTTAAATTTGATCGTACTAATAATAAATTTTTAACATAAAATATTTTTTATAAAACCGCTATGGGTCAATCCATGCCAAATCATCCAGAAGTGGTTGCACGACCACCTCATATTTTTCTTAAATTTTCAGGGTTTATTATTTATGCTAAAATTAGATTAAAACAATTTAAAGGCTTAACCCTCAAAAAAGAAGTTTGGCTATACAAAAAAAAACTGATCAAGTATCATTAGGTTTAAAACTTGATTTAGAAAACTGTGTTTCATGTTGTTCAAATACCAATAAATCTGATTATGAAATTCTTATTGAAAAATTAAAAATAAAATTTAAATCATCAACTACAGATCAAAAAATTAAAATTCTAAGTTTATTACCGCAATCTTGGTCTAGAGAAAAAGTATCTATAGAATTTAATACATCTGAGTATTTAGTTCGTTTATCAAGAGATTTGCTCAACAAGTATGGTATATTACCAGATGTTCCAAAAAAATCAGGTCGTGTATTAAATTGTGAAATAATTAAACTTATTCAAAATTTTTATGAAGATGATGAGTATAGTCGTGTATGTCCTGGGAAGAAAGATTTTGTATCCATTAAAATAAATAACACTAAGGAATTGAAACAAAAACGATTACTTTTATGTAATTTAAATGAATTATTTGTTGAATTTAAAAGTAAAAATCCTAACGTTAAAATTGGGCGGTCAAAATTTTGCGAGTTGAAACCAAAATGGTGTGTTTTAGCTGGTGCTTCAGGTACTCATACTGTGTGTGTATGTGTTCACCATCAAAATGTTAAACTTATGATTGACGGAGCTTCATTAAAATACGATTTTGTATACTTGCTTAAATCAATAGTTTGTGATATGGATAATTATTTTTGTATGATGAGTGAATGTTCCAATTGTCCGAATAACTATGAATACTTAAAAGAAACTATTTCTAAAGAGCTTGATGACGAAAACATTGTTTTTAAACAATGGGTAAGTACTGATCGGGCAGAATTAGTAACAAATATAGAATGTACAGAAGATTTTATTGAAACTTTAATTAATAAAATTATTAAACTAAAAAAGCACCATTATATTTCTAAGATCCAATCAAATTTTTTAAAACTAAAAAAAGAAACATTAGAATTCAATGAGTGTATTGTTCTGGCAGATTTTTCAGAAAATTATAATTTTGTTGTACAGGATGAAATTCAAAGCTTCCACTGGGTTAATAAACAAGCCACTCTTCATCCCTTTGTTTATTATTATAAAATAGAAAATATAATTAAGTGTCGATGTATATGCATAATTAGTGATCACATGGAACATAATACCGTTGCTGTACATACATTTCAAAATCACCTTATACAAGACATTAGATTAACAGTTCCATTTGTAAAAAAAATTCATTATTTTAGTGACGGTGCTTCGAGTCAATACAAAAATAAAAAAAACTTTATTAATCTGTGTTATCATATTGACGACTTTGGTTTTGATGCAGAATGGCATTTTTTTGCTTCGTGTCATGACAAAAACGCCAGTGATGGAGTTGGTGGAACGACAAAAAGAGAAGTATCAAAATCTAGCTTGCAGCGAGTTGGTTCAAACCAAATATTAACGCCAATTGATATGTTCCAATTTTGCGATGACAAAATTAAAGGGATAAAATACATTCATGTACCCACTATAGAAGTACAACAGAATGAAAAAAATCTTAATACGCGATTTAAATTGTGTAAAACTATTCTCGGTACTAGAGAAAAACACAGGATTGTACCAATTAATACCAATACCATAAGAAGTTTTAAGACATCATTAACTGATATTTATGAAGATACAATATTCTAACTACAAAGAATAAACCAAAATTATTTATTTTTTATTTTGTATCCAAAATAATGAATTAAATAATTATAATATATATATAATAGTTAAATTGTATTGTAATATATTACATGATTTTGAACGGATTTTTACTGATTTTCTAATGCTAAATTTTACATGATAAACTTTTTTCTCAAACTTCAAATTTTTATGGTGTGTTAAGCAGATATATAACTAAAAAATTAAAAAAAAAAAATTTTGAAATTAGGTCCCCCAACAGAGATAATGCACCTAGAATACGTGTCTTTTTATAAAATTTCTAACTTTGTAGGCCTATAAATCCCAAGAAAATTGTTTTAAATATTTGAAATTTAGTTGAAACATAGATTATACACTATACAATACCACATTTAAAAATCACAAAAAAAAAATAACATCTTAATGGTTTTAAGTAAGCTCAAAAACGCCAATTTTCTCAAAAAAAGCACCATTTTTAGAAAGTCATTTAAGTTTGAAATTTCACATAAATTTTTTTTTTTTTTTTTAATGTTAAATATAAGTTATAATAAGGTCAATCCTAAAATTTTAAGTCGATTGAGTTAATATTGAATAATCTGTGTGTTTTTTAACGTTCTGGCTATTTTTAACATTTTTTACATTAAAATAGCCATAAAAATCGAAAGGTCATAAAAAAAAAAAAAAAAAAAAAATTGTTTTAATCTAATTTTAGCATAAATAATAAACCCTGAAAATTTAAGAAAAATATGAGGTGGTCGTGCAACCACTTCTGGATGATTTGGCATGGACTGACCCCTATGCAAAGTAGTGATTATAATTGGATTTTTATAAAATAATACAATTATAAAAAAAAAGGGTGGTGATTGTTAACTTGTTCAAAAAAATCCCTAGTAATTCCAAAATATTTCTACACTTACAATCTGAAGAAAAAGTAATATTTTTTTATTTTAATTATTTATTTTTTAATAAATAACACAATTGCAAAAATATTGGAGTAAAATTATTGTATTAGTAATTCAATTTTAATAAAATAATATATAAACGATATTTATTTCAAAATAAGTATAAAATGTACTATTGTAAAGCTGTGTGAATAGAATAATTTTGCATCCATAAGGGTAAATGTTATCCCACAAAATTGTGTCATTATTATATATTGTGTAAATATGATTGATAAATATGATTGATAACAATGTACAGATGAGTTACCAATATATGGTACATATAACATTTTTGGATCAATAATTGTTTTGAGTAGCTTTTTTTTAAGAATTTTTTTCAATTTTATACTACACTAAAATTATATGACAGCGTCAAACAATATAGCACAAATATAATAAACACGAAATGGCAAATTTTAAAATTTTTAAATATGAAAAAATTAATGTTTCTATTTTTTTATTTAAAAGAAATGATAAAAATATTCTTTTTATGTAATCTGAAAATGTAACAATTGTTTTAGAATAACAAATCATAGAAAAATTAATGCCTTCTCAGCTTCACATTGAAGTTAAAATAACTACGAATTAATTATTAGATCAAAAGTGTATGGATCTGTCATATATTCTAACTTGCATTTCAATATAACTGTTATCTTTTTCTTTGAAATTAAAACAAAAAAATTAATACGATAAATTAATAAAAAATTCTTGTTAAAAAAAAAAATTAAGAACATTACTACTACAATAATATATCAACCTGTATGTCTTCAACACATTGTTATTTTCAATATGACGTCTTCTATAGTCCAATATAGTTAAATAAATAATTATCTAGTTGTTTATTTGTCATTTTAAAACTAATTTTTAAATTATTGTTTAAGGACATGTTTTCTAAAAATAAAAAAACCAAAATAAACGTAATTATAACTTTTTGAAATATTACCAATTGTAGATGGATGTAAAATATATGCCTTATTTCTTAACCAAACATCAATACTAAAAGTAATTTTAATTGCATTAAAATATTGTAAATTATTTTTCAGCTCTAAAATGTATTCCTTGGCATGTTCCAAATAATTAATCAATTCTGTATAAAAATTATCAATATTACCAGTTGTTATATCATCATGTGAAATTGTATTTTCTATCCTATTTTGATTTAAAAACTTATTTAATAATATCGAAATATCAGAAACTATGACAAAATATTCATTTGTACTCATATTAATAAAATTTCTAATTAATATATTAAATTTTGAAAAAATAATGTTGAAAAATTTAGTTGGATCAGTCCCAAAAATGTCCATAGCAATGAATTCTCGTAGGTACTCAATGGTTCTTATACCAATAATGATCATATTATTATAAAATGTTTTTGCAATTCCATTTGAAAAATTGAAATTATATATAATCATTGAACCACTTAGAACCTTTATGTAATATTTTATGAGTAAACCAATAGGGCGAAAAGTTGCTGTCATTACAAGTGTATGGAATGATTGTATATCAAGTCTGTAAAAACTATACTTGACAAATCTGAATATATCAAATAGTGTAACTTGACTTCCGCCCTTACAATTTATAGTCAAAGGTGCAAACCGAAGTATATCTAAAACACACTTAGGCCGATTATTATTTGTTATTTGATAGTAACGAGACTGTGAACCTGATAATAAGTCTCTTTCGGATACTTGCTGTCCATTCATCATAAAATCATAAAGTAGTATTTTTTTTGGTAAAAAATCGATATACTCTCCTATATTATAAGTTAATTTAAAAACTTTATAAATAAAACTGTTTCTCAACATTTCTATATTAGGTTCGGTTATGTTTTGTAGTTCGTCAGTTTGAAGTAACCTATTTTTAAGTTTATTTGTAGATAAATTTAAGTTTTCTAAAGTATATCTGCCGGATTCATTGTAATCGGGACACGTAATAAATACAATATCATAGGAAACGTCTTTACACACATTCTGTATGAAATTTTCTAATTGCACTGAAATAAATTCATGAAGAATAATGTAGCCTTCAAGCATACTTGATTTTAGATCTGAAAGATCTATTTTACCTTCCTCATTTGTTGCAAGCATGTCCGTGTATCCCGAAACATTATTGAAGTATAAATTCAGTGTCATTAATTCTTTTGAGAAATAGTTAGTGCAGTTTTTAATATTATATTTCCTTAACGCATCTAACATTACCATAACAATTTCGGCATGATTTTGAATTGAGATCCCGTAAATTTTCAAATCCGATTCATTGTACATATTCTTGTTGATATTAATTTCGTTTAAATATCGACCATTATGATTAAAATAATTCAACATGTACATGGTAAAATTGCACTGAAGATCACTAAACAAAAGTCCTAGAGTGTAATTGATGAGTATTAATACAATAATATTTTTAAATATCATTTTGAATTTCATTAACTAAATAATTTAATTACATTAATTAATAATTATAATATACTTATTTCGATGAATATTAGTCAAAATATTTTATAGTTTTATACACATATTTTTAGTGTAGCATTTTTAATGAATCCTTATTTGTTTAGGTGAAAATTCAAAATAAATTTATTTAATACGCATAAAATATTATTTATGTAAACAAAAAATAATTTCCAACTTTTGTAGATTCAGCTTATAATGTTTTATTCCTTTGAATAGCCACTTATTTTTACAATTACATAATATAAAAAATTTGCCCGACCCCATGTATTTGGTATTTGGGCTAGAAAAAAGAAGAAGAAAGACTTGATATAGAAAAATCTATAATTAAAATTTTTATTTTACAACTCTGATACATACATTGTAATATTATATTAGCTCTGATAATATTAATATAAAATATGATGTAATTATTTTTACATGTATGTCATGTATTGAGAACTTACTAGATCACCAAAACATGTTTCCTTACTTTAAAACAAAAATTATGTAATAAAATCTAATTATTGCATATATTTAAAATTACAATGAAATCCAACCGATCACATTTAACAACTAATTAAAATTTCCATCATCCAAGATCACGCTAGAAATTTTTAGACTACCTTCTTTTAACTTCGAAAAACATAATTTTTCCTATTAAAACAAGTTTATTCGGCAATTTCATGTAATTTTTCGGTAGTTTGTTATATTTCTTCATTAGTTCCTCTTCTGTATACTTTATTTTCTAAAATAATGTCATATATTCTTTCTATGCCATATAATTTTCTTTCAAAACAAGTCTGATTATCAAAAAATATATGTTAAATTAAAGCAAAAAAACCCAGCACAGGGGGGTCGTGGCACAGTGGTGACGTGGCATAGTTGGATCAAGTATAATGATATCTGACAGTGATTAAAATCACTATCAAAATAAAACGCTTCGATGCAAATCTTTAGATAGTGTTTAATTTAAAAAAAATTGGTGTTTTATTCCAAAAGCTACTTGATTTGCTGGTTCCTTAAATTAATATCTCGATTAAGATAAAGTATGTCGAATGAAAAAGGGTTTATTAGAAAAATATTATTTCTCATAAAAAAATTGTGTGGATCCATAAACTTTTCAATAAGTTATAGCATTATAAAGTTAAATATAATATAAATAATAAAATCGAGAATTTTCACACGAAAATAGCATTCGGTAGCCATTTTCGCCGTNGCACACGAAAATAGCATTCGGTAGCCATTTTCGCCGTGAAGATAAGTCCAGAGGGCAAATTTTTTTTTTTCAAATTAAAGTATATTACATTATCTTTAATTTAAGATATATATAAAAGTGTCAGACCTTCCGGAAC